CTCTCTCTCTCTCTCTCTCTCTCTCTCTCTCTCTCTCTCTCCGATGCGGACAGTCCATCGTCACACGCCAACTCACGAAGTTGTCACCCCGCTTAGTCCTCCTGTGCCTGTCAGGTTCACCCGCACGCTACAGTGCGTCGTAGCCTACGCATCAACCCCGCACATTCGGCACCAGCCCGTCGGGTCGCCCAACTCCCACATCAACTCCCCTCTTACTTCGCTCGTGAGTCGATCCTCACTGATCGCACTACCCCGAGCTTCCAATAACTTTTTTAAGAGAGCTAACTAATCGCGCTGCCGAAATTTATAGCGTGCATGCGCGAAGAATGCGAAATTGCAAGGACTTAGAAGGAGAGAAGGGAAGGAAGTACCTACGTTCTACATAACCAAATCGCGGCGTGGGGGACGTAGCCACTCTCCACGCATCGACCCGATCATGCAGCCTGCAGGCTAACTAGACTCAGCAGAAGGAAAAGAGAGGGCGGGAAAGACGAGGCTCAAGAAGAAAGATACGGTTACAATGATGTCCGCCCAAAAATTACAGTTGCACACAAGATTAAGGGCGTCGACTAATCAGAGCAAGTAAAAAGCATCGCGCGGCAAAAGAAATTCCGAGTTCCTAAATTCCTATCTAATACAAAAATGCAAAAATAACTTCAATAAGGCGCAAAATTTCGAAAAGAAAGTCCGAAATTCCGAGAGTCATCGAGGGCTCGACAATATTTGAAAAGAAATTTAAAAAGAAAGAAGCAAAACTCCCACGCGATCATCGCGCCAAGAACCCAACAACAAAAAGAAGCTATGTTAACCATTATTAATCGCGTCTGCGGCGACCTGCCACTCAACCGTCCATCCCGGGACTTGTCCACCCTTGGCCCCAGCAATTCGAAAAACAGCAACGTAAAAAGAAGAAGAACGAGGACACTGATGCAATTTCCCTCCGATCCCGCATCTCTCGTAATTGGCCCAACCTTCCCATCTTAGGACCCCTTCTTTGTCATCGCGCAGAAAGTCGTGCAACACAGAAAGTGGTTCGCCACAGCGTAGCCTAGCCCTTGCATGGGTAGGGAGTGCTCTGCACTCTTATGCCATGGCACCCTGGCAACTCCGCACCAGACCTCCATACCAATCATCATACCAAATATGATTTTGATACCAGAGGAGATGTCCTCCCCTCAAGCCTTCTGTTGGAGAGGGGGGGCTCCTTTTTCAACATTTAAAGGCCGCGTGCTGGACTTTCATGATACGCCATTTTGATTGCCTTGATCACTAGGAAAGCATGGAAGGCGGAGTGGCGCATCCGGAAGCTGTGGGAGAGCATGCGGTTGCGGTGGCAGCGCTCCTGTATATCCAAAGGCTACAACAAGTCTCGTCGCAAGGCAGTTTGACGTCCATTTACTCCTTGTGTTGGTTTTTCACTTAACTTGGTTGTTGTTTTTGTCCTTTATGCCCTGCTTAATTTTTCGTCCCTAGTTTATGACGGAGTTTGTGGGCTTTCATCTGTGGGCATTGAGTTTTTTGAATGAGTGAGGTATCTGTAGAAAACATTTGCGCAATGTTTAATTCTCTCGTATGATTGATGGCTTTGGTCAGTTGTTTTGCGCCGAGGTTAAGATGTGGATTTGTGCTGCATGTTGCAAGTTTCCAAAAAGTATAGGTTCATTCATAGACTCTCGATGTTCCTTCAAGTTAGTGTTTCGTTTTTAGAAACACGTATTGTTGAAATAATTTAGGATTGAGGGAGAAGGATATTTGTTTTTTGCGATGTATGGGAGTTATTTTTGTGATTTCCTCTCCTTGATTGTCTTAGGTAATTTTGCCTCTTGATAAAATGGTATTCCTTGTAGATGCTATAAAATTGCCAGAACGAAGGAGCAGTGGGAACACCAATGGTCGGACGAAATGAGAGACCCAGTGAAGAGCAAACTAGAGTTGTA